TAATAATATATTAATATCTATATAAAGTATAATAATATCTAAGCATGGAATTATTGAAAATATTATTGTATTTTTATCATTAGTAAACCATTCTGGGTGGTGTGACAATATTGTGTCCCTGTTCTAAAGGAAGAATGAGTGGACAGACACAAAATAGGAAATATGATACAAGGCATCTCATTCCTCTACTTGGAAAAAATGGCTGAGAAAACGCTGCATTTAAGTGTTGGGTCATCAGCCAAACATAGGTTTTTAGGTTTGGTTTGTGTTTGCTTTATTTTCTATGCTATAAAGAATGTTTTAATACATATGCAAATATTTTTCTGAAGAGGAATTGTAACACGTTTTGTATTTTCAAAGCTGACTATGCCCAAGAAGCGGGAAATTTACAACCCAAAAATGAGAGATAGGACAAAGAGGTAGGACTGGGAGTCGGTGATGGGGAGAATAAAATATCGGGAGGAATGAGATGGCATAGCCAAGGTATGACCTAGTCAGTGATGAGAGGCAAGATATGTCAGGAAGTACAAAAGGAAGAAAGGACAAGAGAAGATTGTGGTCGCAGATCGGTTTCCTCCTGTTTAGTGGTAAAGGATGAGCAGAGGCCTAAGCAGACTCTATCTTCCTTTGAGAGATCTAGTTTGGTGTTGTGACTCATGTCAGGACTCTGGCATGGTGTCAGAGCTCAGGAAGCTGTGTTTGAGGAGTCCATCAAGGAAAACTTGTTTGAGATGAAGGCTGCCAAGATATACACAAAAAGACAAATACCCTTGTTATAAAATAGGACTAATATGGGGGTTGGGGCAAAACTGAAAAAAAGAAGGGATAAATAATGTACACAGCATTGAAACAGACAAGGGAGACAACTGTTTAAAAGGAATATATGATTAGGTATTATTGGCATGACAAGAGTTCAGAATAAGAGCTGGATAGTAAAGTAGTGGTGGGGGTATATAACAATGAAAGAACTTTTTTTCAAAGAAAAAAGTAAACTGGGGGTGGGGAGGCAAGGAGGAAAATGTGCAACAATGAATGAATGAAAATCCAAGTTCTTTTTAAAGTTTTATTAAAATATCAATTTTAAAAAATCACAATAATAAAAAAGGGGGGAAGATATGCCAAGGTATGGCGTAGTGTCTGGGAGAAGCCTTATGCCGGCAAGAGCTCTCTTGGAAGGAGCCCAGGATAATATCCCACATACATCCCAAACAAGCCGACTGAGATTCTCTTATTTTATCCAGTGAAGAGCCTGAAGGCAGCAACATATTTTCTGTGTAGACCTAAATTGAGATACATTTTAAAAATTAAGACTTAAGTATAAACCTAGGTTAGATTCAGTTTGATGGCATGACAACCAGAAATACCATTTCCAACTCAAACTTCTATTTAAACTCCTAATGAGCCAAAAGACATAACAGAATTGCCTCATGTTGTTGTTGTTAGGTGCCGTCGAGTTGTAGACAACTCATAACGACTCTATGAACAAAAGGCCTGTGAGCACTGTTCATAGAGTTTCCAGAGGCAAGCCATTTCGGAAGTGGGTGCTACTCCTGCTTCCAAGCTTGTTCTAATGGGGAAGCTCCACCAAACACTGTCCACCATGGATAACCATTATCACATTTGGCACACCAGTGCCACAGTGTTTAGCATCACAGCAACCACGTTACCTCTTTACAGCCATGCACAGACCAGTGCTATGCTATACTATCTAGAAGAATGTTTGACAGAAATACTATTTGAACAGATTAAAATCACCCACCTTGGCCTTGGTAGTATAACTTTCTGTCCACTAGGCCAACATAGCTCTCTAAGTTTATAACCTTTATGGACACAGTCGGACACATCTGTCTTCTGGCTGATAGGTTCAAACTAGTGACCTTTCAATTAGTAACTGTCACTGTTGTTATTGTGTACCGTTGAGTTGGAACTAACCAGTATCTAGACCGCTTGGCAGGTTTTCAGTGGCAGTTAATCACAAGGAAGGAGATTGCCGATCTGTCTCCCTTGGAGCAGCTGGTAGATTTGAACCGTGTGTCTTTGGGATTGCAGCATAACTCCTTACCACTAGACCACCAGAGTTCCCTAACTGTGCCACTGGAGCTCTTTAAATTATCCATGTCCTTGTGCAATCAAAGGGTAACTTCTGTAATAAGAGAGTTAATCTAAAATGCTTTCCTTTATTGTTTGGGATACCTACAGTATTCCCTCAGGGGAAATTTTGAGTTCTATAAGCAGTATCATATGCTCTGATTGAGTCTTTTAAAAGATTCCTTTCCCATTTTTTTTTTGTCCATCTTCAGAAAGCATTTGCCTGTGCAGACGAAGACGATGGCCAGGAAGCAAACGACTGCTTGCTCATCTACGATAACGAAGGAGTGGAAGCTCCCAGGTCTCCTACAGGCTCCGTGGGCTGTTGCAGCTTCATTGCTGATGATCTGGACGATAGCTTCTTGGACTCATTAGGCCCTAAATTTAAAAAGCTTGCAGAGATCAGCCTAGGTCTCGATGACGATGCCAAACAATCTCAGGTGCCCACCAAAGAAAGTGGTGCTCAGATGTCAGGCAAACACAGTGGTTCTCAGATGCCCATCAAACAAAGTGGTTCTCAAATACCCTGCCGAGAAAGTGGTTCCCTGATGCCCACCAGAGAAAGTGGTCTGGGGTTTGGCGCCTGTGGACATCCCACAGGCAGCCAGCAGTCAGGACCCATCAGGGGCCAGACTCTGCTCGGAGGTCAAGGACCTTGCGTTCTGTCGTCTTCTGGGTCTGTCCTCCAACCGGCCATTTCCATTCCTGACCCCTTGCAACATGGAAATTATTTGATAACCGAGACTTACTCGTCTTCCGGTTCTTATGTTCAGCCTGGCACTGGAGGTTTTGATCCACTTCTCACACAGAACGTAGTCATGACAGAACGAGTTGTCTGCCCTGTTGCTAGCGTCTCGGGCAATCTACAGGGCCAGACAGATTTGCGAGGGTCCCGTAACATGATCTGTACTGAAGAACCTTGTTCTTTTTTGATATGACCAGAATGAACCAGAATAGCAGCCTATTCAAGTCAGGAAATTTGGTCAAAATTCTTCAAAACAGTGCGTAAACTCTCCCTGTGGTATTCTAATTTGGCACTAACTGGCTATTATGACCAGGCAATTATAATTCATTTACATTTTCTAGTTCATATTCCAAAGTTGGGTGTGTTGTTAGTGTTAATTTCTCATATATGCAGTGAATCTTAATGTTTTTCAGAAAATATTATGGATCATTTTCAATGGGAAATTTTCCTAGAAATCACTAAACTTCTGTCTTTGCAATGCCAAAGGAAAGTATAACTTTAAAAAAACTCAAATTGTGGATTAAGCAAGCCTTTTGTTTTGTTTTTACTTGTTTGTTTGTTTGTCTGTTTGTTTGGTTTTTCTTATTGTGTACCATTGAGTCAGGTACAACTGGCACAGGAGCAGATTGTCCATCCTTCTCCAGAGGAGCATCTGGTGGATTTGAACCATGTGCCTTCGGGGTTGCAGTGCAGCTTCTTGCCACTAGGCCATCAGAGCTCCCTTAAGCCTTTTCTTATAGCATTAATATGATGTAAGAATCGCAAAGTCTGTACTAACACATTTTGAGCTGTTTTTGAAAAGAGAAATAGATCGTTGCAGTTAAATTTTTCCATCTTCTTGATGCTGGGATACCATAAAGTTATCATTTGCTTAAACTAAGTGCTATGGGCTTGTGCCTTAAACTTACTATAAACTTCCTCACACTTCCACAATAAAATAATTTTAAAAGTGAAATTTCATAGAATACTAAGGAAATTTTAACATAGTGTAAATAGCATTGTGTGTGTGTGTGTGTGTGTGTGTGTGTGTACGTGTGTGTTGAAAAACATTGAATGAATGTATCCAAAGCAAATACTTTATTTTGAACTCCTTTTTATACATTTCTCAGTGACAAATAATATGTGTTCATTGTAGTTGGCTCCTTTTAAAACAGAGTTCGTGAAAATGTATCATTTACATATGACATTAATGTTTCTTATGCTAACAGAACTTATATAGGCCACTGTGGCAATGCAAAATATGGCGCTTTTCTCATAAGCAAAAGGAGCCTCTGACTAGAATAATATATGGTGAAATTTGTGAAAGATTTTATAAGCAACCTCCTAGAAAAACATGTGGTGAAATAATTTTCTAGTAAAAAATGGATGTATAAAGGGATTTATAAATAACTTCTATTTGTTTAACTCTCACCTCTTGTACACTAAATCCCTATAGAAATTTAATTTTTGAGTGTGACAATATTGAAGTAGTGAAGGTTTTAGGACATTTTATTTTATGCCTCCCCTGATGGCAATGTAGTTCTTCAAGTTGTTCTGGTCATTCAAGATAATTTACCCTTTAGCCAATAGATAACACCCTACCTCACCTGCTTGCGAATATTATTGTCTTAGTTGAGTCTTTTAAAGGTCATCACACAGTTTTATTCTAATTGAACATAAAGTACAGAATTCTATTTTTTCCCTTTTGTTTTTTTGCTATATTCAAAACTTATATTTGTTTGATGAGATGTAAAGCAGTAATAAGATTGGGGGTTTTTTAACTTAGAAAGATGCTGCTCTGAAGCCACTTAGAACTTTCTAGATTCACCTACCTGCACTCATCTCTCCCCCCATTCTCCGGCCTCCACCCCTCTCACCGTGACTACCAGGAAGGCAAGTGCTCATCTAGTCTGAGAAGCAGCAGTCTGTTCTTCCACAGACAATGCTGCTGCATGCATAAGGGCCATCCTGAGGTGAAAGGAGATAGGTCCTAAGGAGAGAGTCTGCTGATTTCTGAGGAAATCACATTGTTATTACCACCAGTCCCTCTTCTTTCTCAATCCAAGCTTGGACTAGTACCAGAACACACGCAGCTGATTCGTCCTGTTTATACATGAGGTTAAATGAATAATAGCAACAACCCTTATTCAGAATTCGAAGGTATAGTCAAGGGTCTTCAAAGTCTTTTTCACTTTGCACCTTAAAATCGAATTTACTACAAAATGAGAATTTTGCTGAGTTGTCAAAGTGCAGTGGAAAATATGTCATGCCCTTAAAGGTCATATAGGTGAAAGTGCTTTTAAATAAAATCTTGTCCAGAAGAACTTATAAATTGATTTGTCATGTACAGTTAAATTCAAAGCAAAAAAAGTTTCTATTTTTTCATCAAAAATAAAAAAATGTGTTAATCAGAAAATCTTTTTAAACGTTTTACTTGATGTGAATATTTCCTTGATGCATTGTAAGTGTTAAAGAACATCTGAAAACCTTAAAAAAGAATAGCAATGTCACAATAAAACAGTTTGGCAACAAATTTATGAGTGTTTCCTTGACTAATCAATAAACAGTTTTTTACAATTAAAAGTTATTGCAAAATATGACATAAGTAATATAATTTTTTACTCAATTGCCATATAAAGTGATCGACATATAATTTTTTGTTGGCATTTTACATTCTTTGTTTTCTAGCTGGTCACAAATGTAGAGGAAGTATCTGGGATTTTTCTGGGATTCTGAATCTCTTCAAGTAAAGATAGTGAATGTTATGGTGCTGGATGAGGTCAGAGTAGAAAACCTTTTACTAACTGGATACAGCCAATCCAAAGTTACAAATGGCATCCATTCCTAAGGGTATCTTTATGGATTTTTAGGTAAGTTGGGCCAGGCACATAACGTTTATAGTTAGTTTACCTTTTTTACAAGAAAAGAATTGGTTCCTATTTAGCTTTGCATTCGGGCAAGAAAAGGAGCCCTGGTTATAAACTGTGTTCTGTGTTACACTGCTAATTGAAAGGCTGTTCTTATGTGCCATCAAGTCAGAATTAACTCATAGCTGACCCTCCAGCAGGATTTCAGAGGCTGTAAAGGCACAGGAGAAGACTGTCCATCTTTCTCCTACAGAGCAGTTGAAGTATTGGAACCATGTGTCTTTGGGTTGGCAGCACAGCTCTCTCTATGCACTAGCTCACTGTTGGTGGTATTGTGTTGAGTCAGAACCAATCCAGAACTGACCCTTCAGTGGGTTTTGAGAGGCAGTAAATCTCATGGGAGGAGACTGCCCTTCTTTCTTCCATGGAGCGACTGGTGGATTTGGGCTGTGTGCCTTTGGTATTGTAGCACAACTTGTTAACACTAGACCACCAGAGCTCCCTAACTGAAAGGTGGTGATTGGAATCCCCCAGATACCCTGAGAGAGAAAGATAGGCAATCTCCTTCGGTTATGTACATCCTCAGAAGCCTAAAGGAAGGCCATCAAGTAGGAATCAACCCAACAGCAGTGGGTTTGACTTAATTCAGGAAAAGGCATGTCAGAAAATGAAAGGAATGTCCACAAGTTAGATGTTCATAAACCAAGGACTTTCTTGTACTCTATTAAAATCCTTCATTTTCTTGATGATTTGAAAGCATGTTCATGCTAAGACATTCTAAGATGAATCAAAGGGAAAATATGAAGTCAAGACAAGTTAATGTTTCCCAGGCAAATTTGAGAGAAGAAATATACTGTGACCCTGGTGAGAGCCATGAGCCCTGTGATGAGTTTGCCTATCGGGAATGTCTGTGTCTTCGCCTCCCTTTAAAGTTCTTGTTTTTTGTTTTGTTGTTGTTGTTATGAACCTTCGAGTTGAGTATGACTCATAGCAACCCTGTGAGCAATAGATCTCAACCTATGTCAACATCATCATCTCTGATACACTTAGAGACTACCACTGCTGTCAATCCTTCTCTTTTGCTTCTCTTTTGTCTGCCTTTCCTAGCACGATGCCCCTTTCCAAGGACTACCCTATCCTAACAACATGCTTCACCATCCCTGCCTCTAAGGAGCATTCTGGCTGCACTATTCCCTAACATATCTGCTTGTTGTTTTGACAATCCATGGGACATTCTCCAACACCACAACTCAAAGGCATTGATTCTTCTTCTGTCATTCTCATGGTTTTGTTCAACTCTCAGATTCATAGCCAGTGCTTAAAAGATCAAGGCTTGGATCAGGCACACCTTAGTCCTCAAACTTGCAACATTGTGCCTCAGTTATTTGGAGAGGTCCTTGACCGTGGACTTGGCCAATGCTACACATCTCCTGATCTCCTGGTACCAATGGTATTGATTGTGAATCCAGTAAGATTACAAGGATGAGAAAGAAGGGAGTGGGAATAAAATTTAATAGATACAATGAGTGATGGAAAAGGCAATACCAATAAGGGTTTGATGAGGCATTGTACTTCATTACATTAATAAATTATAATTAACAGTATAATACAAAGTACAGTGAAGAAATAAACATAATCCTAAAGAAATGGTATTTTTGCTGTTTATTGCATGTTGTTGTTCAGCACAACTCATGTAGACCCTGTGAACAAAAACCTGAAACCTTTCTATAACCACTGTCTTTCCTTAAAGTTCATAGAGTCGAGGCATCTTGTTTAGGGAGTGGATGCTACTCTTACTTAAAAAAAAAAAAAGGCATAGCATGTTCTAAATACATAATACTAGAAAAATATACAGGAAAGCCTGTGAAAGACAAGTCCTGTGTGAAAATCTCAACCTTGGCCTCTCTACAGTATGTCCTACACTATTTTACAATATCTGCTCACACTCACACAGACATACAATGGCAGAATCAGGTCAGGGATCTTCTGAACTGTTGGGGACACTTCTGAGTTAACACCGGTGAGTCCTCTCATGGCGATGGGATGTGGATGACTGGCGGAAACTCTTTCTACAAACAGAGCACTTGTAGGGCATGGATGACTAGCGGAAACTCAGCACTTGTAGGGCTTGGCTCCTGTGTGGATCCGCTCGTGAGACTGCCAGTTGGTTCTGTGGCTGAAGGCTTTGCCACAGAAGCTGCATTTGAAAGGCTTCTCACTCTTGTGAGTCACCAGGTGCACTGTCAGGTCTGATTTCTGGAAGAAGCATTTGGAGCATGTGGCACAGACATAGGGCCTCTCGTTCTTGTGTCGTCTTTTGTGGTATTTTAACTGAGAGGGATATGTG